GAACAGCAAGAATCACATGTCATTTAAGCTTCAGGGAGAATATTATGTCTAGGCAGAAACAACAAAAAAAGACAAATTTGATCTCTTTCACTCTGTCAACAGTAATGATCTGAACTATTTGTGAGATCATCGTGTTGTGATATATTAAAAAAAAGTTCCACACCCCACTCATAAGCCCAAACTGAACACATGGTTAAATATAGCACCAAATATTATTGTTTACAGTGTCAAACACCATAATACAACGTCTCTTGGGGTATAGTGTCCCTTAGTTACTTATGCGTTTAACATCTCTAGTAAAGAGTTAGGCAGAACAAATGCCATATGAGATTGAGTTACATTTTGTTCACAAATATAGTGAACATTTTGTATTATATGCAATGTTGATTTTACCTGAGATATCAAATGTCACCCCAAATCAGTCTAAGTTGTACACAGTATTAAAAGTAGCAATAAACATTAGTTTCCACTTAGTACCTTCTCACATTATAAATTCTAAACTTATAACAATTCCCATTAACTAATATTTCCCAGTCGGATGTCTCAATGTTCCATGCAACTTTAAATTTAGAATGCCATCCCCTTTTTACTACTGAGAAAGAGGTTCAGATATAAGGGAGGAGGGCCAGGGGAGAGGAGTTGAGTAGAACATTCAAATTATATTTCTTGTAACAGTTTTCTTTAGATTATACTGTTGAGAGTGAGGTGAGTAGTTAGAGTGAAATGGGTTATTTCTGAATAGTGGCCTTAAAATATATTTTTTTGGGGGGGAGAGCATAAAGTTCTATCTCTATATTTAACTCTCTGAAATGCTGAAACGTAATAGATTTGTTAAAAAAAAACTATAAACCTCAAAAACAGCAGACTATCTAAAACATAACTTTAATAGATATTGGAACATGAAAGGCATTTATTACATCAAATGGTACTTAAGGGACAGTCACCGAACAAGATTAGGCTAAATATATCTGCCTCATGACTTGAAAGACACTCTTCTTTTGATGGTGAGCCCCATATAGGAGAGACAAAATCTTACTTTTCAAATCCCAGGTATTAGAAAATTCAATTCACATTTTTTTTTTTTTTTTTTTTTTTGAGTAAGAGTCTCACTCTGTCGCCCAGACTGGAGTGCAGTGGCCACTCCCGGCCACCGCAGCCTCAACCTGCTGGGCTCCGGCGATTTTTCTGCCTCAGCCTTCCGAGTAGCTGGAATTACAGGCACGTGCTACTACTCCCGGCTGATTTTTTGATTTATTGTAGAGATTAGGTCTCGCCTGCCCAGGCGGGTCTTGAACCCACGGGCTCAGGCAATCCACTCACCTCAGCCTCCCAAAGCGCGGGATTACAGGCTGAGCCACCGAGCCCGGCTTCAATTCACACTTTTTAAATTGAATTTTGAAATAGTATTTTTTTTCTCTTTGACTTCCTTATAGCCAAAGTTTGCAAATATTTGAAAGAGTACTGGATATGTAGAACAGATCTTTAAAGTTCACACATACATAGAAAGTGACAATGGATGTATATCTTATATGTAAGTTTGTGTCAAGAGAGGAAGAAATAGTGGATTTTTTTTTACAAAAAAGCTTAAAAATGTCTAAAATTCAACTAGTAGGATATAATTTTAGAATTATGTTAGACTATGCTTTCCAATATATTTTCAGATTTAAAAAAAGAAGCTTTAAAATGTTCATAGAGGCTGGGCTCTGTGGCTCAGCCTGTAATCCCAGCACTTTGGGAGGCCGAGGTAAGTGAATTGCCTGAGCCTGCAGGTTCGAGACTAGCCTGGCAACTTGGCAAGACTTCATCTCTACAATAAATGAAAAATTAGCTGGGCATAGTAGCATGTGTCTGTAGTTCTGGCTACTTGGAAGGTTGAGGCAGAAGGATCGCGGGAGTCCAGCAGGTCGATGCTGGGGTGGCCATGAGCATACTACTGCACTCCAGCCTGGGTGACAGAGTGAGATTCCAACTCAAAAAAATAAAATATAAAATAAAATATTTATTGAATTAAAATAACAAGAGATGGTTTTGGAGTTATTTTAGACTGTGTGTCTAATCATTTTCTGTGATTAAAAAAAGGTGAACTTGATGAGCTCCCACTTGTCTCTTATTGCTTTATGACATGGACTTTTGGGGTTTTGATCAGGAATTAGTTGCCTATTCCAAAACTTCTGCAAAGCAGAAGAAACCATTAAGAGAGGGGGGAGACAGCCCACAGAATGGGAAAAAATATTTGCCAGCTATATATCTAATAAAGACCTAACATTCAGGATCTATAAGGAACTCAGATGTGCTGAAAGGAAATCAAAAACAAAAACAAAACCAAAAGAGTCCTACTAAAAAGTGGGCAAAAGATATCAATAGACACTTCTCAAAAGAAGATATACGAATAGCCAACAGATACACGAAAAAATGCTCAGCCTTACTAGTCATCAAATAAGTGCAAATTATAACCACACTGAGATACCACCTAATTCCGGTCAGGATGGCCATCATTAATAACTCAAAGAACAAGAGACACTGGAAAGGATATGGAGAAGGGGGAATGCTTCTACACTGTTGGTGGGAGTATAAACTAGTATCAGCTCCGTGGACAACAGTGTGGAAATTTCTAAATGATCTAAACATTGACTTTCCATATCACCCAGCAATCTTCCTTCTGAGAATATACCAGAGGAACTTAAATCATTCTACAAAAAAGATACCTACACACACATGTTTATTGTTGCACTATTCACAATAGCAAAAAAAAAGGAACAAGCTGTGGTGCTCGTTGAAAGTGGACTGGACTGGATTAAAAAAATGTGGTACATATACCATGGTGGAATGTTATGTAGCTATAAAGAAAGACAACATTACAGATTTTGTAGCAACTTGGATGGATTTAAAGACCATCATACTCAGTGATCTATCACAGAAACAAAGAACTGAGTACCACATGTTCTCATGCTTAAGTGGACCCTGAACATTTGCCATAATACTACGTGAAAGAGATTGGTGATAGTGGGTCACTGCCAGGGGAGGGATGGAGGGGGCACATAACACTAAAAAGGATACTTGATCCCAAACCAGGCGAAGTGATGACCAAAGGGAGGCCCAAACTTCACCTGTATGACCACTTATGTACCTGACCTTGAATTACACCCCACATCTTAAAAAAAAAGCTTAACTTTTCATAGAGAGAGGGAAAAGAAAGAGGAAAATAAAAATGAAGCAGAGGAAGAAGATAAAGAAATTCAGAGACAGCTTTGAGAAAGGAGTTTAGGAAGCTAGTGATGAGGGTCTCTCTTGCCTTCCTCACTTCTTTATTTCTAGCCATCTCCATGTACTCATTGGCTGTCAGAGTTCTTTCCTGATACTGATGCTTATTAAAAGGAATTTGAAAGAGACAAGAACAATAATCAGGAGATATTGCTTGTTTTTCACTCATGGTTTGGGGGTAGCAAGCACTCAATAAGTATTTAGTGGCTGGCCTTGGAGGTCAGACTAAATCCTCAGTCTAAGATCCTTAAATTCTTGTATATTATGATGATTCATATATCCATGAATGTTTACATATTGAGCCCTGCTTTTGTTCAAATATTTATTTTAATAATTCACCATATGGATGCCAAAATTAGATACACTTGTCTAATATACTAGGAAATAAAGATAGAAAGTTTTCTTTGTGCATTTAAAATAGTAGAGTAGTTGCAATTGGACTGTGGCCTGTGAAACATATATATAAAATCTCTTCTTTGAAGCCAGTCACTGTGACTCATGCCTGTAATCCCAGCATTTTGAGATTACAAAAAAGCAAGAAGACTTCTTGAGCCAAGGAGTTCAAGACCAGCCTAGGCAAAAATAGCAAGACCTTGTCTCCACAAAAAAATTAAAAAATAAAAAAAATATCCAAGCAAGGTGGTGCATGTCTGTAGTCCCAGCTACTCTGAAGGTTGAGGCAAAAGGATCAACTGAGCCCAGAAGGTTGAGGCTGCAGTGAGCCATTATTGTGCCACTACCTTCTAACCTAGGAGACAGAGTTAGACCTCGACTCAAAAAAAAAAAAAAAAAAATGATGTCAGCTCTAAGATTATACAAACCTTTTCTTTCTTTTATATTTCAGGTAAAGACATTTTCCCCAGTAAATATAATCTCCATGATTTTAATAGTGACAAAAAGGGAAATAAAATCAATTGAGTTCATACTATCAGTCTGTTATGAAATTGACACTAAAAATTTATAATCAGAAACTGTAGTTCATTCACCCCATTTAGAAAGAATATTTCCATCATTGTTGTCACTCCTGAGAGCAGTTATCAAACTTCTACTGGCTGCATGAAATGAAAAATTCTCTTACATTTTTCATTGCTTTCTTCAAATTTGTGATTTTGACCCTATCTACCCAAAGAAGCCTATTTTAACACTATTGATTGCTTCATTCAGGATCCCTCACCTATTTTAATTTCTCTGATATCATGGAAACATCAAACTGTCTTTAAGGGACTTAATCTCTAAAAGGAAAAAATACTCATAACAAATTAATCTAGTAAGCCAACAAGAAATGCCCAGCTAATATTTAAAGATTAAGTTTTATAAGCAGATTCTGTAAACAAATTTTAGACAGGTCTTAATCCAAGGGACCAATGCAGTTAACTCATGGGATGAAAAACAGTAAAGGAAACCACTGATAACAAAACTGCATGGTAGCCATAACTGTATGTATTTCATTTTTGATGTTAAATCTTTGCCTACCAGATGCTCATTTTAAATAATTTCCTTTCATTATTAGAGAGTGAGCCAGAGAAAAGCCATTACCTAGCTGTAACATTGTGCAAGGTACTTAAACTCTGGATATCTTTCCACTAGAAAATAAAAGTGTTGATCTCTAATGCCATTTTCAACATTAATAGTCTATGATTCCACCAAAGCAGAGTCAACACAATAAAAATTAGATTCAATTAAGAGACAGGGTTGGGAAAACACTGGAAATACATAATAAATTCTCAGTAGTCTTACACTTAATAAAGGGCCTTCTTTCACTTTATTTTGAAAATAGCAAACTAATAAGTGAAGGAATAAGTCACATTTTAAAGGTTAGCAGAATATGATTGTCAGAATTTTGTTTAATTACATAGTTACATTTCATCACAGGAGAACAAAATATAAGAAAATTGTATAATATTACAGTGCTGGCAATAGTAAATAACTTATGGGTAAAACCATCAATATACTTGTTTAAAATCTCAGTCATGCAAAGTTGTGATGTAAAGTGGTATTTTTGAACTGCTTTACCTTTTTTTAAGTGATGGAGCAAATTTTAATATTGCACAACTATGAATTATCCCCCTTGTAGCAATATCATTAACAATATATTAGGTTCATCTATTAATGATTGAGATATAAGAACTATGACTCCAGAAGAAGGTAACTCTTCAGCTATGTGCTTCATGTATTATTACCAAGGGGAAGAATCACACAGACAGATCTTAAAATAATTTAATTTCCTAATTTTATTATTGCCTCATTATTATAATATTTTCTGTTCTGCCAGAAATTCACATTTAGGTTCCAGGGACAGCTATTTCTTTGCATTTCACTCCCAAAAATGATTTAGCTAGTTCTTAAATATAAATGTCCCCAAACTATTATGTATCTGGAATAGATTGTAACTACAAATAAAGTATGCCAGATCATATATTTCCCAATAGAAGCAAATTTATAATGGGTGCTTTATTTCTTAACAAGGGCCTAATGTCCAAAGTTATTTTTATCAAAATGATCACAAACATTATATTTAATCAACTACAAATGACATCCCTTTATAATGTACAGTAGAAGAATTCACAAAGCATATATAAATTATTAAATAAAGGTTTACAAAAGAAAACATATAACACAATTTAATATACTTTAGAGATTCTTAGGGGAAAAGATTTTGCAAGATGGATTCATTCTGTGTGTATCCAAAAAAAAAAAAAAAAAAGGTAACTTCAGTGGCACATACAAAGTGGGTCAAAAGCCAAAAATGTGTGTGTGTGCATGCACACATTAAGATTGGGGTGGAGGGGTCTTCTGCAGGTCCTGGGAGGTCTCCTGTCGACTGCAGTAAAGATGATACTGGCTTTCATGTCAAGGAGCAGCCTGATTGGTTGATGACATTTAGGCAATGCCTGCTATAACTAAAACAATGGTGTGTTTTATAACTGGAAACAATCATACTCTATTATAGGTCTTCACAGAAAAATTGGTGCTTCCCCCACTCCACCCCCTGACATATATATATTTTGACAAGAATAAGCACTATTTCTGAACTGGGCAATAGATACTGTGAATCTGAATTTGGTTAATCAAATTATTATTTCATATTGACTTATATTTTGTTATTTTTGGATGGATATTTAATATCAAGATACAGCTGTCTGTCATTTGTTCTTTATTTTCCCTGACTTTCAAGATCTTCTGTCAAACAGCTAATGTTCTGAATGACCATAAAAACCCTCTTAAGAGGGTTTCTTTGAGAAAAATCCTGTAGTTACTTTAATAAAAATTTAAATCATCTTAATTTTTTTCTTTGCCTGAATTTGAGTTTTTGAATTTTGGATATCTGATGAAAATCAACTCTTTGGAGCCTGTGTGTCTCTCAAGTGAATTAACATAGCAATTCAGTTCCAACATGAGCACAGCTACAGAGGGAGGACGCAAAGCATGCTCCACTTAATGCGCAATTCTGTGTCTAAAGAAAGGGTTGATCTTATGCTGTAAGTCTAGTATTATCCTAAAAACAGGAAACAGATTGTGGAAGTTAATGGTATCAACTACTAAAATGGGCCCAAAATAACAACCAGAAAATTTAATTCTACTTATTCTTCTGACAACTGAGATGTGGAATACAGACTAGGGAAGCAGGCATAAGATATAATTAAAAAAAAAAAAACAAACTTGTTAGCTAAGCAGAATTATTAAAGGGAATATTTCTACTACAAATGCGTTTTTCCTCTCCTTCAAATATCTACAATATGTTAAAATCTTAAAATAGGGAAAAAGTGTCTGAGAATTACAAGTAAAATGTGGTTTTCATATTATTTAGTAATTTTAACTTATTTCTTATGTATCTAAACTTCAGTTAACTTAAGTCAATGCATACTGAAGTTTATAAGAAAAAACTAGATGAGTAAGGTATTTTAATGCATACAAAAAGAGTCATTTCCCAAATTTCTGTTGCCAATGGAAGCTTTTGAAGTTCACATGAAAAAATGTAGCCCTGATGTCATCAATTATGTAACAGAGTCATGACAAATGCCATAAATAATGACACCATAAAGTGCAATGGAGTGATAAAGATTCCAAAAATAATAGTCACAATTACAATATGATAAATTAATAGTATTACAAAACACACATACCTACTTTTTTTTAAGTTTGATTATCACTTTCAGATAAATAAGTTTGAATTTCAAACAAAGAACTGGATGACAATATAAGAGTAATAAAGCTTATAACAATCATTCATGACCTATAAGTCTAATTAACTGCCCCATAAAGCCTCTCAATTGATATAGGTGGAGGTGAGTCAGGAAGAGTAGAAGCATCTGAAAAATATGGGAAAACACTTAAATGTACAAGAGTTTATTTATTTCGAGGCCATGTGGCATTTCTTAGCTCCCATTACATCTAATTGGAAGACAAGATGGAGCCAAAGACATGTTCCTGGACCAGGGCCCTGGAACTAGGTAAAACAATCCCTGGATGTTTCTTTGACTTTACACAAACTACAACATCGGTGGGTTCCCATTTTTTCCTGAGGGAAACGTAGAGTGGGTCCTTTATTTTACATGACTTTTAAGATTACTTCCACATCTAGCTAGCATTCCACTTACATAGACAATGTGCCCAACATCTCATGATACTTCCATGAGAGTCTATATACTATTTAGTGCCTCCTCTGTTGGAATAATTGTAGAAATGATACAAGATTCACATTCTTGAGTAAGAAAGTAAGGATTTGTGGCAGTTCCACAGAGAAAACGTGGGCAATCTTTCAAATATGTCTGTAGAGAATGCACACATGCGATTGTTGGTATCTTCTCACATATTAGCTCCTTACCAATCTCACTGATAATATGTCTTCATGTTGAAATTTAAATGAGGTGGACCATATAAAAACGATTCTCATATTCCTGAAGACCTATTTTACTGTAGGGACTTTGTTTCACGTTAATTTTTCCCCCCACTAAACTGAAAGAAGCATATTTACTGTTGTCTTTCTGTAGCAATGTTAAGACATGATACAACTAATGTCTTCTTTAAATTGCGTGCTAGGCAACACTAGTAAAAGAGGCCAAGTCCATGACTCAGGACTGGGGTGAGAATTCTAGAAAAGTAGTGTCCAAATGTTATTCCGGACATTTCATTTTTTTTTAAAAATTATTATTTTATCTAAATTGTTGCCCTCATGGCTAGTTGTCATCCTCCCTTTCTATCTTCTCCATGGGAAATTGCACTCCATAAATTTCATAATCTACACACCCCATAAATTTCATAAGTTAAATTTGTGTGGCATTTCACCCACTGTTATTAATGTAGACCCAGTGGCAAATTTTTATCTATTTTGAAAAGGCTGTGGTTGGGAGATCGTATAGTTAATAATTAATAAAATAATTTTAAATTGCAAGATATTGGTAGACAAGTTAATAGAATTGGTGAAAATGTAGAATTTTCACTCTGAGTGTTTAGTATAATATCTTTTTATAAAACACAGACTATTAAAGGCCTAAAGCTAAGCCCCACTGGATGTATATTGCCCATTTATTGTGCTGTGTTATAATAAAACTGAACTATAAAACTGAACTATAATTTTTTATAAGAATACAATTTCCTTAGCTTGTTTTCACTGTAGCACTAATGGTTGATTTTAGTAGATGGCTCAAATAATCTAGGGAGTAGGGTATCCATGCTTTTTTCTTTTTTACAATGTTTTCTGAGATATTGGCCAAGGAATGAGGGGTACACATCAACTTTTATGATATATTTTAAATATCTACTATAAAGATACTACATGCAATAAATCGAATCTGTAGAAACTACTACTAACACTGTAAAGTTATTTATCAGTCCATTGTTTCTATATTAGAAAGAAGGTATAAGTGTTTCACCATTTCATAGGTGATGAATGATTTTCAACATAATTGCCCAATGAAGACAGAGGAGAATTCCACAAGATAATCGGATTAGCACTCTAGCTGCTATTTGGTGAAAAAAGGTGAGGTTTAATTTTAATAACTATATTTCACTTTATTTCACATGCTCTATCAAACAGCATCTTCCCTACTATATGAGTAAATATGTTTCTTACTTTATTAAGTTCAAATTGTGGCAGTGGCCAGAACCTATTGATTCATAAATATTTGCAATCTGCATAAATAAAATAGTTCTGAGTGCCTATTGTTTGCTCAATAACTGAAAGATGTGTTTTCTTTTCCCTTCACCAGAATAGCAAACTATTGGATCAAGGTTATTTTGTACTTTTCTGCATTTTAAATGTATTGCAATGTGTTTGTCATGTGTACAATAATTAATATTATCAGAAGAAAAATTGGAGTCTTAAAAAATAAATCCCCTTATGTAATTTTTCTGTGAAATGTGTCTGCCTTCCAAGCTTTCTCTTCTGCGAGAAGAGCTGTCATTACTTATATTGGGTTTCTTCATCACTGGTCTTTTCCAACCCAAAATAGAAATATTGACCATCTTCATTTATCAATACAAATCTGGATAGAAGCCTAACGGAGTCACTTTTAGAAGAAGCCAAAGATGTCTTTGGTTCATAGCAATACCTTCCTCTCAATGAAAATGTCAAGTATATATTAAATATATGATACAGCTCTGAAAGGAGAAATGACTTGCAAAGTGTAGAGGTATCTTTAGTCAAAACCCCACGAGCTCAAGTGAATCAGACACCTATCCATGACCACTCTAGTTGTTCCAATAGAATTGATTTTCATGAAGTTCCAGGAGACTGGACAGTAGCTTTCCATCTTTGGTCTTTGTAGAAGATATATCTGCTTTTCATTTTTATTACAATGAATGCTGCCTCATGTCAAGTATATTAGGTTAATATAAGTTATCCCATCCATTCATTGAGCACTTTTGACTTAACTACGATTATAAGTATACTTAGAGGAATACACTAGAATAAAGCTCCAAAAATGTACCACGAGATACTTTATGGTATTATTCTCATTGTGATGAGATTGGGTTAAATACTTGGGAAGTAAATTTCTCTCTTACACAATCTTTTTATGACATTGTTTTCAGAATGAACTGGCCCAAGGTTATGCCTGATCTTTGGTGCTTCAGTTATATTCAGTGGTAACAGTAAGAACCAAATGGTGTTCTTGAAGCAATTTCATGCAGGTATTTGTCTCCTACCAAATAGACACAAGAGCAGACTCATCTAATTAGCAGAATCCCTCCTGGACCCGCTGTCTGTGCTTCTGGCACATTAATAAAGCTGAGATGTGACCCAGGACCCCTGAGGGCCTTTCCCCATAAGTCCCCTGTAGAAACTTGTGGTGTCTAAGCAACAGCTCGACTGAGTGAGCCAGCGAGAGGCTCGCTCTGAATGTGGCCCCACCAGGAACTGTGCTCAAATGGTCTCAGCTGGGAGTTGCTCTGCTGTATTTGACTAACGGCATTTCAAAAGCAAATGCCACATGCTAAAGAAATTCAGAAGTGTTTAACCCTGAAAGCTGGGATTTCAGGGAAGGGTGTATAGTTGCAAGGAACCAGTCATCTGCTCCTTTGCTGAGTCAGCAAAATTCACAGAGCAGAGAGTTTGGGTAATTTTCTTTTTATCCCTGAAAGCTTAGGATAATTATTTTTTGCAGCCACATTAACTCTTATGATTAGCATCTTGATGGGGTTTTCATACCTATTGGAGTGATTCGGAGAGTCTAGGTAGTTGCTATAAGTGCACATTTATCAAAGAGGAACCTGGAACCATTTTTATTCTGTAGTAATTCACTGAAATGAATTGCCAATCTGTACTCAAGCTATGGAAAGAGATGAAAAAGATCTTATCAAAGATCAGCAGAAAGGTACCCTTTCAACAAACTAACTTTGATAGTTTTTTTTAAAAAATTGCTATTAAGAAAAAAAAAATTGGGTTTTCATCTTGCATGACCTGGGTTCACTGTTCTTTAAACAGTGAGATACTTTGAGAGAGAACAATTTTGGACACGTGGCATCATATGATTTAGGCAGGATAACTTTTATTTTTACCAAAATTAAGGGCAAATATATCTTTGATGACCTGAGTTAGTCAAACTCCTCAGTTCACATGGATATCACTACTTCCCTTTAAGCCTTGTAGGTTTGTCATTAGTGCCAGGGGAAAAAAAATTGATCCTTTTTTTTCTTATAATCCTAAACAACCCATGCCCTATAAAAGAAAAAAATGAAACCCAGCAAGTTCTGGGTTACACAGTAAATTACAAGCCCCAATGGCTGTCTGCAAATGGCATCTATGAAATTTTAAATATTGATATCTACCATCCTGTGCCCATGTATTCTCCTCTTTGATTGCAAAATTGCCTAGTTCTTAAGTATTATTGGTTTCTTAAGCAGTTTATCATTTAGAGCCTCTCTTTTTTCTTGAGGTGATCACACCTGAACCTTCCTCATGTAGCTCAGACAGGTGGCCAAAGGGAGCAACATTGTCAAAAAGAGGACACTTGCCAGAAAGTGCGGTGACATGACCTGTGGGACAGCTAGACTGGCTTTTTTACTTCCAGATGTTACCCTTCTCACATTTTCACTTACATTTGTCTTAGGAACAGACTCGGTTACATAAATACTTTTGCTAATAAGAAGCCTTTTTTTTTAATAGCACTATTTTAAAAATATCTATTCAATATAACAATCTTAATTTTAATGCACCAAATTACAGTTTTCAACAATTTAAGTGAGCATATCCTGTCACCCTTAGCTCATGTTTGATATATACTTGTTATATATAGATGGATATAGCAATATCCTTATCTATATTTATCTACACACACACACACACACACACACACACACACACACACACACTGGAGAGCTACAGGGCCCCGCTAAATAGTGTGTTCTGAATTTCGTGTTCCCTTAATTGTCACTGAGCTGATTTACATGGATGCCATTTGTGGAGCTTACTAGAATTGTCCCTGTCGAAGCTTCAAAAGCCACAGAGCTTGTGGTGGGTCTCCATTCTGTCTAAAGACAGAACCTGGCTCAGACAGGAGGACTGGGCTGGGAGGTCCCTGCCATCTAGGCAAAACCAGTGTGGGCAACTTCTCTTGGTGCTGAGAGGCTTCTGCTACTGTCAGACCCAAATAATTTTGTTTATTTAAATGACTGCTCGTACGATTTGGGTTCTATTTTTGTAAAACATAGATCCCCCCAAAGAAATTCAATAAATAAAGGACTTAACCACTGAATCAAGGAAGCAGAACTCCAGTTTTTAACCTTCCGATGGGATTGGGGCTAGACCCGACCCACTTCAATTTGTACTGCATTTGGTCTTCCAGGAGGCAGAGGGTGCAATGACCCTACAGGCGGGTCCAGGACAGACTGTCTCTCTGGTCAGCAGTGGCTCTCTATGTGTCATTGAATGAGGCTGGAGCTGTAGCTAAATCCGTAGCTGCTGGACCGCGACAAGGGCTGCTGAGCCTCTTCCCCCTGTTCCGGGGCATAGCTGGGAAACGTCTGCGCGCGAGACATCTTTGACGAACCAAACCCATGGCCTAGAGAGGAAGAGAAGAGAACTGTGCTAAGAAACAGATTCAGAAGACCAAAGGGACATATTTTTCGATAAACAAAGCAGATACTCTCGAATTCTCAATATTGTGCTCAAGGGAAGTTGGTGACACTTAAGCAACTTTGGAGCTTTGATCTCTGATGAATTAAAGCTGATGAACTTGAATCCCAGTATTTTCTCCCTAAATGTGCTTTGCCGAAAATCCTGGATGCCAGAGAGCTGGGGGAAATTTTCTAGGGACCTCAAACTTCTCCTGTTTCAGCTTTTGGGATAAAAGCAGAAAAACTTTCCCCTAAAACAGATGTTTTCCATGGAGAGCCTGCAAACTGCTTTCTTTTCTTTCCAGCGTACAAAAGTAAATTGCATACTTTCTTAGAACTTCTGTGAACAGGCAAACCACACTTTACCGTAACCAGGAACCATTCATTATCTGGGGGGAAAAAAGCTTTTACAAAGATGGGGTCGAGATCCTGGCTTATCCTAGTGGGTGTGGAAGTCGCCATAACTGAACCACTTCATGATATGGATAACCAAAACAATACAGCTTTAGGGTTCCTTAAATGGCCTAAAAGTTGAATTCCATACAAAATAGATTTAAAGAAAATTCCATCTATGCCAATGGTTGCTCAGCTGCACCCCTGTGATGACAAATTCTCTACCGCAAACCAAAACAGACGTGATCACCGAAAACGTGTCAGAATGCTAACAATGTACAGAGAAAAATATGCATAAGGCTAAAGCAGTTTTCTCATTTTTTAAACCAGTAATTAGTCTTCAGACTTGAGAAAGATTTGTACCTAATGGATGAGTTTAGGGGAAGAGAGAAGTAAAATAGATCTAGTATGTCTCACTCTTTCAGAGTTTATGTTTTACTGAAAGGAAGAGATGTATTTAGTTTGATTTGTATTTTATCTGATTGCTAGGGAGAGGAATACAGAGAAAACAATCTGTTAACATAGAAACACTGAACATCTCGGTGTCACACTCCTTTGGGGGCTCTGTCCCTTGCAATGTCATACATCGTATGATACCTGAGGGGTGTGTTTGGTGACTTGAAATATATTACTACAGTGTGAGAAGCTTGGGGGGTAAGGAGGAAACCCAAATAAATTAGGTAATAAAAGGCTAATTATACTGGCAGAGCCACGTAAATGTTAAAAAACTGAGAGAAAAAAAAAACTTTCTTTAAAAAAATTGTAGATTTATTTGGCTGATTCTCTTGTCTGTAAAGGAAGGCACACCAGACTCATTACCAGTAGATTAGCGCAAACAGGTGGGGGGGCATTTCCTTCCTGGGGGTCCTCCTGCCCCACTTTCCTGGCTCTGCTAGCACCAGTTTTTCTTAGCTTCTAGAACTTTTCGTCCCTACACCTCTTGCAGTCCTTACTAATGTTCTTCCTTCTCTTTTTCTCCCAGGCCTTTCAGGCATGAGGGTGATACTTCCTGCTGTTGCACTTCATCCACAATTTCTTATTGGTTTCTACAGCTCATTAAAGAGTCCCTTTATCAAGTTCTCTTAAAAACCTTTGCCGAGTGTGTCTTCTCTTTCCTGCAGGACTCTGATGGTGTAATGAAGGAAAAATGAAGCGAGGTAGAAGAAAGGAGAAGTTAGAGGATGGCTCAGGGCGGAGTCACCAGCCTTTCTGGCATCCAGGACTAGTTTTGAGGGGGTGGGATGTGCAATCAAACCTCACTGCTAATATTAATCTGACCTCGCAACCACTCCCCAGTGCTAGGATCACCATCTCAGCTCAGTTCATCAGGTATTAGATTCTTATAAGGAGCACGCAACTTAGATCACTCACATGTGCAGTTCACAATAGAGTTTTGGCTCCTATGAGAACCTAAGGCTGCTGCTGATCTGGCAGGAGGAGGTGTCATTCCACTGGTTTCCATCCTGCTTCCCATCTCCTGCTGTGCGGTGTGGCTTCAACAGGCCATAATAGGCAGCCTAGGGTTAAGGAGGGAGATGGGGAGGAGCCAGGGGAGGAGGAATTAGGAGTAGTTGAGGGAGGGAGTGGCTAGCGGTAGAAATCCTGGAGCTGGAACTTGAAATATATTTGCTTTTTCAACTGCTTACTAACTTGTAACCCACATTAGTTTGTCTCTGGTTTTCTCACTTTCCTTATCGGCAAATTCTGGATGTTAATAATGGCACTTAGCTTATTTGATTCTTTTGTGTATTATATTAATGAGTTAATCCATGCTAAGTGCTGTCACCTTAGTAAAGAGACAGAATATCAGGTAGTGGTGGTAGTTTCCAAGTGGAATCAGTAACTAAGGCAATCAAGGAAGGCCTCCCTAAGGAGGTGGTTTTTTGGCATGATGTTTATATGACAGAGTTTAATACACTAATCTGATATGGGAAAAAGCACTTAAAATTTTCTATCAGTCATGGTGGCTCATGCCTACAATCTCAGTTCTTTGGAAGGTATAGGAGAGAGGATTGCCTGAGTCCAGAGTTTGGGACCAGCCTGGGAAAATTGACAAGACTTTGTCTGTACAATAAATTAAAAAATTAGCCAGGAGTGGTGGTAGGTACCTGTGACTCCAGCTACTTGGAAGGCTAAGGCAGAAGAATCACCTGAGTCGAGGCTGTGGTAGACATGAGTGTGCCACTGCTCTTACTCCTGGGCAACAGAGTAAGACTCCTACTAAAATAATAATAATAATAATATAATGATTTTGTTCTCTTTATCTTACCGTTGGCTCCAGATAATAATTTACAGTTCTTGTAAGTGGGCATTCTGGTATTTATTAACATAAGCCAGTTGGAAAATAAATATTAAGACCATACTCCTGGCCTGGGTTTTACCCTGTTATTTTTTGAAGTTTTAGACATATCTGAAATGTTGGAGCACTCCTTGAATTCACACTACCTGTGGGCTGAAAACTGAGGCTTAAGTTGTGAATTCAAAACAGACTTTGCCTCTTGAACAGTTTTTTAATGCTAGAATCTTGGGTGCAAAAAATCAACCATACAATTAATATTTACCAATCATCTAATAAAATGGTTCAAGACCCCACAGGAAAGAAAAGGTTTGGAAGGAGGGGGTCCCTGGCTTTACAGAGTTCACATGCTGTTTTGGGAATGGTGGCCAGACAAGAATAGACAACAATAAATACCATATGCTATATGTCAGCGGTTCCCAACCTTTTTGGCATCAGGGACCAGTTTTGTGGAAGACAATGTTTCCATGGATGGGGTAGGGGATAAAGCATCAGTCATTAGATTCTCATAAGGCACGTGTAACCTATATCCCTTACATGCACAGTTCACAATAGAGTTTGAGCACCTATGAGAATCTAATGCTGCCACTGATCTGACAGAAGGTGGAGCTCTGATCACCCACCACTCACTTCCTGTTTTGCAACCTGCTTCCTAACAGGCCGTGGACTGGTACTGGTCCACAGTCTGCAAATTGGGGAACCCTGCTATACAGGATCAGAGGAGAAAGCCAATGGGGCTTAGAAGAGCTGTGTTATCAAACTGCTCACATCACTTCAACAATCACAAATAACCTCCCCTCCACAGTGTGTACAATCCCCACTACTACCATGGAGTTTTGAAACAGACATGTACTCTACCATATCCCATTGAGCCTCAGTTTTATGCATGGAGCCAACATACTTTCTTGAGGTATTTTGTTGATTAAACGCAACAACATATAGGAATACACTTGGGATGATTGGTATGCAATTTAGTTTTCTTCTTTCTTTACACACTGAGTGGGTTCATATTCTTGTCATTCTCTTTGTTTGATGCCTACGCTTTCTCCATCTCAATATCCTGTCCCTCACTCCTTTAGTTTAAATGTGTCCCCCAGAGCTCCTGTGTTGTAAATTCTTAATGCAACATTGTTGGTAGGTGGGGCCTAAAAGAGGTGATTAGGTAATGAGGGCTCTGCCCTCATGACTGGATTAATGTCATTATCCTGTGAAGTGGGTCAATTTCGCAAATGTGACTTTGTTATAAACGTCATAAAAGCAAGTTCTCCACTCCCCTCCCCTTATTCTCTCACACTCTCTTGTCCTTCTACCTTGCACCATGGGTTGAAGCAGTAAGAAGGCCCTTACCAGATGAAGATCCCTCAATCTTGGACTTCCCAGCCAACAGAACTGTCAGAAATACATTTCTGTTTTTTATTAATTACCCAGTTTGTGATCGTCTGTTATAGCAACACAAAAAAGGACTAAGACACAGTTTGAATACTTTTCTTCTTCAAGGTCAACATTGCTTTATTCACCTCCTCTATGAATAATTTCTGGTCTAATTAAAAATTAAATCGCAATTTTTTTCTTACTGCAACCATTTCTTTACAGACAATTCACAAATGATGCTATTTAATCCTTATCACAAAAATAACATACCTCAATCAGAACTGTATATATGAAGGCTTTATAAATGCTGTCTGATTTTGGCAACAATGGGTGTAAGAACAAAAGAGAGAAATAATTAAGCATTTTTTTCCTCAGCGTTTATTTGAATTATGCCCCAAGGCATCATTGATGAAAGCAAAACAAAATAAAAATCAACTTAGTGGCTTAAATTAAAAACCTGATGGAACAGAACTGTTCATCCTACTATACAAGGACTCTAGCTAAATGCTTCCTAAACTTTTCCACCATTTCACGTCCTAAAAACAGATACAGTGAATATGTACCCTAGAACCTGAGGGATGCAACAATTTGAAAGCAATACATTTGTTAATAGCTATTAGTCCATTTTAAAATCCTCTTGAATTTTCTAATCTATTGTGTATTCATGTTTGTTTCAATAGAAAATAATATGATCTACCCATATATTTAGATCATGTTGACAATCTGGGAAAATAAAACATATCATATTTATCAGGTGGTTTAAGTATAATCTGAAATGACACTCATGTCACAACCACCCCTTAACACCTTCTTCCCGTCGTGTGTATGCTGGTCCCAGACTCATAGTTCCCTTCTATAAAAAAGAAAGTAAATTGATTATAGACA